ACTAAATCTTTTGAATTCCCTGTAAACTGGTTAATAAATGTTAAACTGTGTTAACCTACTAAATCTTTAGAATTCCCTGTAACTGGTTAATAAATGTTAAACTGTGTTAACCTATTAAATCTTCAGAATTCCCTGTAAACTGGTTAATAAATGTTAAACTGTGTTAACCTACTAAATCTTTAGAATTCCCTGTATAGAACTGGTTAATAAATGTTAAACTGTGTTAACCTACTAAATTACAAGTCGTTGATTACAGTATAAGATTTGTTCTGCTTGTCCGTGTGGGGGCGATGCGTACTAGTATATCAGCAGAAAAAATCAAGTTGATGGGTTCAATATATATATCTATATTTGAAGGCTTACATGATATATCCTGTTCGAGAACGTTTTTAGCTGACTGTATAAAGTCCGCATACGGTAGGTACAAAACTAGCTGGGCCATAACTACCCGCTAACGCTACGGCAGACGACGCCTATCCTGATCTAGCCTTGAGTACAGTCATGTACGTTGGCCTTTTTCAGCAAAATGGGGGCCGAATGATCAGCGGAAGAAGGTCAACCTACATGACTGTACTCAGGGCTAATCCGGACCCAAAACGCCGCAAGACCTTGACATGATAACACCACCACAACAACAGATGCTTCATGCTTACTGTATTTTCACTTGTTTGAAGTTGACGGTGGCTTGCCGGTTGGTGGGTATGTGGGTAGCATCATCCAACAAGAGAAAACACAAAAATAAACGTCAACAAGATAACACGTCGCGTGGATCGCAATCTGGAGCTACGGAATCGCACCTATATGTTTGCCATAATTATGGTGTAAGAGAACTTTGTTATAGCATGCATATTGATAAATTAATTATTTCCTGGGGACAAATTGAATTAATTTTTTAAATTAATTAATTTATTTATTTATAAAAACAAATAAACATATAACAGTACATGGCTACCTCAAAAACGGTTTTATAAACTATATGTGTCAGATACAGACAAAATAAGGCAACAAAAAATATAGCAATTTGAACAAAAAACAGCTAAGAAAACTAAAAGAACAACTAAATATAAATACTACCAAAAAATACCAGACTCCAAGTACAATTTGTATTAGAATGAAAAATATTTGTAAAATGCATTTTTAAAATATGACTTTCTTTCCATTTGAAATTAGCGATATCAGAGGTACATTACTTGGGGTTTGCAACTCGCATAGTACTGTATGGTGACATCATGTCAAGATCCCATTCAAGTCTCTTCTCGTAGATAGCGAGACTGAGGCTACGACCTTCTGACATGACGCATATCAATGTTCAAGGTTTGTAGTGAAAAAAATAAACTTTTCTTGTCACTATCATAGTGAAAAATGTAATACATCGAAAATGTACAGAAAATATAGTTCTCGTAATCCGTCATATCGTGGGCAGCTATTTTGATCCACCTGGACATCCCAGTATCCTAGTTACCTCGGGCATGCGCATTCGCATTTTTTCTGAGTTGGAACGCTTATGCGAGAGCGAGATTGTGACGGGATCTTGGTATCATGTCACCGTAGTTACAAACCCCAAGTAATGTACCTCTGGCGATATAAAGAATGTTGTCAGGCTTTAACTCCACAGAGACATGCCCAATTAATTTGCCTTGCCAGTGGTGTTATATAATTCATATGTGCTAAGGCCATTTCATAAATTTTGACCTAAAGGGTGAATTTGGGCCATTCACTCATCTCAGGGTATCTGCATTTATTGACCAACCTACACTAAGCACTCCCTTCTAACCAAAAATCTGCAACCCAAATTTTTGGCCGTAACATCATCTATAGTGAACTTGAGTTACTATGTACTGTGTGGTTTTATAAAATCAGCAAAATATTTTTCAAACTGCAAATAAAATTGATGATGTCTTAACTCATGCATTTGTGGTACAAAAATAAAAAATGGTGAAAACAGATAAAATTGTCGCTAAAAATAAACATACAAATTAATCAAGACCAGCAAATCTTTTAGATGAATATGAATAATACTAAGCATTTACAGTAAAATAAATATTAATGTCACATTTAAATGTTGAGTAATTAAAATACTCTATAATCTGTATTACCAGTAGAAGCTGTGGCTTCTATTAAAATGGTACAATTCAACAGAGAACATGGGGCTTCTGTTAAGAGCATCAACACATATGAGAAATGGTAAATTTTTGGTTCTGAATTGTACGAAAAGAATGAGTGTGACTTCTACTAGAGATGCGACTTCTAATACAGATTTTAAGTAATGATATTAAAGATTGCTTTAAGGCAGGTTAAGTTATTCAATTAATAAAACACTGTAAACTGATTTGATATATATTATGAACATAGTTGACTGGTTTTATTGTGTTCGCGGTGTATAGGATAGTAATCTTAATATTTTTCCACTAGTGTATTGGTCAGTGTTAAATAGAATACTTCTGAAGTGGTTGGTTGATCCGTATATCTACAAAGAAATAAAAATATCATTCTTTTTCATTATTACAAAGCTTACATAATCCATCCCCATTAACATTTTCCCATCCTGTTTTATTTCCTAACAAATCTACTGTGTTTGACCTCACCTTAAAGATGGAGGAGATGCCATGATAATCATTAATACTGTGATCATTTTAACCATGTAACCGTGCT